TTTTGTGTCCAAGATGGGGCTCGAACTCACAGCCTCCCATTTCTAAGCTATGTACCAAACTGTCTCTCTAAATTAATGCTTTCTCAATTGCAGCATTGTATCTAATGTCCTTTTAGCTTTTTTAGTTTTCATCTTAGTTGACAGGGATCATTTGGGGAATTGACAAAGACAATCATTTGATCACCGACTTCTTCCCTGCTTTGGTGAGATGCCTTGGGTTGGAAATCTCTATTTTTTTTGGAAACAACTCCAGCTGTTCCATTAAACACTCCGCCAAAGAAAAGATGCTTCAGGGCTTTTTTTTCGAATCTAAATGATGATGACCAAAAAGCTAGACAAGCTTATCCATTATATCTTCCTGACTGAGTCTATGTATGCGGTCTACTTTCTCCTTGCCTTCTGTAGCCAGCTTCTACTTCCTCCCCATTTATGAAAGAATAACAAGAGTTGGAAGGAACCTTGGAGGTCTCCTCGTCCAACCCCTTGCTCAGACAGGAAGCCCTAAACCATTTCAATCAAATGGTTGTCCAATCTCTTCTTAAAAACTTCGAGTGTAAGAGCAACAACTTCTGGAGGCAAGTTGTTCCACTGATTAATTGTTCTCACTATCAATACATTGCTTCTCTCTTTGATTAGTTTCCACTCACTGCTTTTTTTCCTGCCCTCAGGCACTTTGGAGAATAGCTTGACTCCCTCTTCTTTGTGGCAACCCCTGAGATATTGGAAGACTTCTATCATGTCACCCCAAGTCCTTGGGGATATGTTTTAACATCCAGTCCAGGGGTGAAATGCTCCCGGTTCAGACCGGATCACCTGATCCAGTAGCGATGGAAGCAGGTGGTTCGGAGGACCAGTAGCAAAAATCCCTGCCCCCCCCCCAAATGCCCAGCTGACCCGTGCAATGATCAGAGGCTTTTTATTTTTATTTTTAAAAGCATTTTTTCTACAACCTCTTTGGCCAAAAAAAAATCAGCTTTTTGGGATCTTGGAAAAGAGATTTAGCATTACGGGGATATTTGATGCAGAATTTCTGCGAAAAGAAAAGTCTGACATTTTTTAAAAGTGTAATTAAAATGGTATATTGGAGTAGAAATGGGGTGCTGGGGGCTATTCTGACCCAACCTTAGCAGAAACAAGAAACAGATTCCTTGTCCTGAAAAACCCCTTTTTATTTATCTCCTGTGAATTAATGGCATTCACACACCGAAAAGTCCAGGCAAGAGTCCTTCAAGGAGTTAACTGCAGTAATAGATCTTATCAGTTCCTTGAGATAATTGCCAGGCCATGAGCTTCCAGCCCCAAAGCTGCAAATTAAGTTCTGGCAAGCAGTCTCTGAGGCACAAAACACGATGAGACGAACTGTTGTCTCCTATGACCACCACTCCCCTTTTCTTCTATTTATTCCCCAGCAAGGGAGGGGGCATCCAGCATCCAGGTGTGCCTTGCTTCCTGAGTCGACTCCTTGTCCTCCATTGTTCTGAGCTCTGAGCATATGTGGATCTGGGACAGGTCCCAGCTGTTCTTCCTCCCCACTTATCTCCACCTCCAAAGTCAGCTGCCTCTGGTGGCTGGGAAATGTCAGATGGCCTTGGCTCTATCTCTGCTTCTGACACAGAGCATCCATCGGAGCCTTTCCCAGACTCCAGAACTGGCCCAAGTTCCTCCCCAACCTCCTCATCATCTAAGTCTGCCACCAGCTCCGCTGGCAGCTGGCAGGCCACAACAGGGGCTCTCCGATATTTCATTACCAAACTAGGTACCATCATCAATGCTGAGAGGCAGTAGAGGGGAAGTTTAATACATGGTTTATTACACCCAGAGAGTGACCATCACTTTTACTAGGCGCAAAGTAAGACATTTAGGAAAGAAATGAATTAGTGTTCTCCCTGGAGAACTCAACGAGGAAGAAAAAAAAACCTGAAGAGTTGTTTTCAATTCAGTTCTGCTCGGCTCCAAACCAGAAAATATTTAAAAAGACTTATGGTACCTTGCATTACACATTATCACAGCGGCGAGATTGACGTACGCTGAACTTTGGAAAAACAAAAATATCCCATCAGAGGAGGCAATTATAAAGAAGATTTTAGAATGTGCTGAAGCAGATAAATTGACTAAAAAAACTAAAAGATAAGAGACCAAACACAAACATGTTTATCCTGGGAAAAAATATATATTTGGCTAGAGAAGAGAAAATTATAACCCAAACTAGATGAGGAATTGTATCTATTGAGAAACTTATACTATACAAGTAAAGTGAGGTCGGATAGACCTAATTGATCTATAAAGGTATATAAATTGTTCTGTCTGCCCCGGAATATAATATAGATATATTGTACCAAATACTAGGTTATTAAGGCACTACTTATAGGTATGCTTGTTATTTGTTGTGTTGTTCTGTATGTTATTTATATGGTGTGTTGTCTTTCTTTTTTAATGAAAAATGTAAATAAAGATTATTTTTAAAAAAAGAATTGTCTTCAATAATGGGGGCATCTGTATAAAATAAAGGAAATGTTTATACTGCCAGAATTTTAATTTTATTAGGTTGATATAGAACCCCAAACAATTATGAAACAGTTAGAGCTGTTAGGGAATGTTGAGTAACCATAAGAGATAACAATATCCATACACAGAGATCACCAGATCCATCGAAGCTATGATTCACGGTTTCCAGAAGGGAGATAATAAAACAACTACATAGAAAAGAAAAACTAAAGGAAAAAAACAATGATTGGTGAATGCAAAGGAATGGCAAGAACTACTGCTAAAGTCCAAGGGTTTTAACTTTTGCATTTAGCCCAAATATTTTGTGGCTGAAAAGTGGGACAGCCAAAAATACCACCCCCCACCCTCTGCCGGGTGAAATTACCAAGGAAGCCAAGGAATAGGGGGGGAAAGATGGCTAATTGCAGGAAGGGAAAGCTTCGCTGCATTTTCCAGCAATTGGAAAAATGGAAGCAGCCATCTTTTGAAATGCATCATAGAGCTGGAATCCCCTTCAAAGAAATTCCATCATTAACAATCTCTGAAGGCCAGTTTTGTTTCAATTCCGACTTTGAAACTGATCAAAGGAATGTATTTTTCAGTGTATTTTGTTCAAATATGGCCTCTGCCAGCCACAAACAGAGTATCTTTAAACATTTTTTTCTTCCTCTCTCTCTCTCTTTCATTCTTTCTTTGTTTCTTTCATTTCTTTCTTTTTTCTTTTTCTATCTATCATCTATCAATCTATCTACCATCTAGCAATCATCTATCAATCTACTAAAATCTATCTATCATCTATCTATCTATCTATCTATCTATCTATCTATCTATCTATCTATCTATCTATCATCTATCTAATCTTTCCTGCCTCCTTCTCCTCCCTTCCTTCCTCCCTCCCCCCCATCTCTTGGTATACCTTGCTTATTGACCATAGGGAAGAGCTGAAAACAAAAGATTGTAAAATATAGAATCCAGTTCACCACTAGAGGATGGCACACAGATGCAAAATTTTACCTCCAAACCAAGTTTGGTAAATTGAAGTCTTGTGGACTTCAACTCAGTCAGCCAACTGGAGAATTCTGGGAGTTGAAGTTCACAAATCTTAAAATTGCCAATCTTTGTTTTTCAGCTCTTCCCTATGGACAATAGGCAAGGTATACTGTAAACTGAAATTATATCTCTATTAATCAATACACTGGAAGGATAATCTATATTTTAAAGAAGGAATGATAGTAAATCCTGCTGTCCTTGGTTGCACTTGAGTTCTTTGGATCCTCCCTGAAGCACGTTCCAAAATATTTCATGTTATTGCTCCTATATTATTCTGAGTATTCTCAGTCCTTCACACATGTCTTTGACACACTGATAATTAACCACAATGTGTTTATCTCCCCTCCCCCATTTTTAATTCTATTTATTCTTCTATAGAGCAGGACACCCCTGCTCTAAACTTTTAGCTGACACCTGTCAGTCCCAGTTGAACTTTCCTTAAAATCTTTATTAAGCCAACTCAAAAAGCATAGATGAAAAGAAGAAAAAAAAACCCCTATTTTCCTGAAGTCAGAAATGCAAGGAGAGATGCATTCGGGAGAACTGAAAGATAAACAAACCTGCAGAAGGCAAACAATTCAGAAAATTGCATGTTCCTTTCGGTTTCCAAACAGATTGACCTTGTTATAACGTAGCTGCTGTTCTTGTTCTTGTTCTGTTAATGCAATCGGCAAAGAAAATGCATTTTTATTTTCTACTAGCTGATAACCCAGCCAATCCTGTATTAGACAGGAAGAGCAACTTCACCCTGAGCCCTGATTTCGGCGAGAATTGAATTAGTTTAAAATGTTTTCCCTGTAGCCCCAGAAGTGTCAAGTAACATGAAACCATCTTGTTGTTTTGCTAGCTGATCCATGATCATTTGGTATGCTTTTTTCTGATCTTGATTTAGAAGTGACTTCTTGTCCACGATATATGCACTAAGCTGTTGGACGTTGTAGTTCTTTTCTCGTATGTAATCTGTGTGACGTACGTCGTGCTGGTCTCGTAGTGGTGCAGGCAGGCCAAGTTGCAATAATGTTTTATTGACCATGGCCATACATTTGTCCTCAAGACTAACCAAAGCCTTGTTGAAATTGTCCAGACCAAACGTAATTTATAATGTTGGATTTTCCCCCTTACCAGAAGCAGCCCTCTTGTGGAGTACTGTGAAGCCGTTACCATGGCAACTCCACTGTGCTGCACAGTAGAAGCCATTTTAAGGCAGTACAGTAAAAGCCATTTTAAGGCACAACAGGCTGTATTTTAACAGAACACACACACCGACGGGTGTTAGGAGTGTTTTACCTCCACAGTATTTGTTTCCAGAGAGTAAGTCATCTGTGTACCAAGTTTGGTTGAAATTGCTTGAGGCGTTCCAGAGTTATGCTGGAACATACACAAACACACACACAGCCATTTATATATATATATAGATAGATTCTAGCCTTCACTAAGACTGTTTTCTCTCTCTTTCTTGTTCTCAGGCTCGTCCAAAAGGAGAAGGCTTGACTCCATATCAAGGGAAGAAACGCTGCTTTGGAGAATATAAGTGCCCCAAATGCAAGAGAAAATGGATGAGTGGGAACTCGTGGGCCAACATGGGACAAGAATGTATCAAGTGCCATATCAATGTTTATCCTCATAAGCAGGTACGGACGGGGTTCAAAAGAGGGTAGAAGTAGAAGTTTAAGGGATGTCCAGGTCGAAGATTCCTCCATGGCTGGATGGTAGCCATCAGAGGTCCTAAGCACAACTCAGCTGTGGAGTTTCTCAACTTTTTCATTGCTTAACAGACAAGTCATGAAACTTCAGGGAGTGCTGAAAACCCAAGGGTAGGAATGAAAGAGTTAAGGGAGTGATGGCCACTGTGGGGATAAAGTGATAAATAAACCTCTTGCAAAGCAACTCTTCGGATTCCTAGAGAGCAGTTCAATTCAACAAGGAACCATTTATGTACAACTACTATTGAGCAAGGAATACGTGGTACCTTACTCAATAGTAGTAACTGTGAGAGGGATCTTGGAGTCCTAGTGGACAATCATTTAAATATAAGCCAGCAGTGTGCTGCAGCTGCCAAAAAAACCAACACAGTTCTAGGCTGCATCAACAAAGGGATAGAATCAGGATCACATGAAATGTTAATACCACTTTATAATACCTTGGTAAGGCCACGCTTGGAATACTGCATCATGTTTTGGTCGCCACGATGTAAAGAAGATGTGGAGACTCTAGAAAAAGTGCAGAGAAGAGCAACAAAGATGATTAGGGTACTGGAGGCTAAAACATATGAAGAACAGTTGCTGGAACTGGGTATGTCTAATTTGATGAAAAGAAGGACTAGGAGTGACCTGATAGCAGAGTTCCAGTATCTCAGGGGCTGCTACAAGGAAGAGGGAGACAACCTATTCTCCAAAGCACTTGAAGGCAGGACAAGAAGCAATGGGTGGAAACTAATCAAGGAGAGAAGCAACTTAGAACTAAGGAGAAATGTCCTGACACTTAGAACAATTAATCAGTGGAACAACTCGCTTCCAGAAGTTGTAAATGTTCCAACACTGGAAGTTTTTAAGAAGACACTGGTTAACCATTTGTCTGAAATGGTATAGGTTTTCCTGCCTAACGGGGTTGGACTAGAAGACCTCTAAGGTCCCTTACAACTCTGTTATTCTATTCTATTCTAGTCTAGTCTAGTCTAGTCTAGTCTATCCCCTCTTCGGGGTTTAAATCCATATAGAAAAGATGCCTTAAAATCTTACGTAATAAGAACTTGGTGGCTCTTGATTTTTGGTTCTTTTTGCTTTTTATATTATTTATTCAAGACAGATAGTTGTTTATTGTACAATAAGAAGTACAAATGAAATACAGATGTTTAGTTCAGTTCAACGGTTGTTCTTGGGATGAATTTAAGGCTGGTTAAAAAAGAAGAAGAAAATAGATGGTAAAACATATAAATATTCCAGATAAATGATAGCCCAATCTGTAACTTAAACATATTAGGAGCGAAGTATAAACAGTGTATTATTGTTTTCTGAAAGCACATGTTTATTGAGCAAGTTAAGATATTTGGACTGAGCAATTTTATAGGAACTGTCAAACTGTGTTTGTCTGGCTCACTCACTAATTTAACTCTAGTGTGTGCAAGTTTAATTTCATTTGTTTTATTCAGAAATCACTTCAGTGTGTCAGCAATTCCAGAAATTGAATTAATGGCCTGTTCCCACCCACCCACCCGAAAAAAAATCACTTGGGCTTGTGTAAAACTTGTTTCCATTAAAAGCCTTCATTTTTGGAGGGAAAGAGAAGAGAGATATTATTTTATTTTAACATATTCCATTGCACCAATTTAATTGACAGTATTAACTGTGAGAGTAGAAATATTAAATTGAACAAGCCCTATTAATGCTCTTCACAAAATAATCTTGTTTAATGCAAGTTAAATCCTAACTTGCATTATCCTTAGGACATATGGCTGGAATTTAATTTAATGAAGCTTATCAGTCACTTCAAGTGGGACAACTACAGTGGTGGGATTCATCTGGTAGTTAAATTGCTGGGTGGCCTCACCCCACCCCTTCCAGGAGCCCCCTCGCACCCCATTTTGGCTCCCAGGTAAGTGCAGAGAGGTCTCCTAGGCCCAAAATGGGGCACGGGGGTGTGGCGCCCCCCCCCCCGTGGCCCGTTTTCACTCCCAGGAGGCTGCAAGGAGGACTACTAGGCCCAAAACGGGCTGGGGGGGCGGCACGTTCCCTCCCCCTGTGGCCCGTTTTTGCTCCCAGGGGGTTGCAGGAGGTCGAGTGCTGCCTGTCACACCATGGCCACGCCCACCAAGGCCACGCCCACCAGCCCGTCATTAGGGCAGAGAACTGGTTGTTAAATTATTTGAATCCCACCACTGGACAACTATGAATAAATTCCAACAATATATTGTGCTGTTACCTGTAAATCATACTGATTTCTGTGTATGTAGGTATTCATTGTACAGGTAGTCCTTGACTTACAACAGTTCATTTAGTGACCATTCGAAGTTACAATGGCACTGAAAAAAGGGACTTATGACCGGTTTTCACACTTACGATCCATGGTCACATGATCAAAATTGAGACGCTTGGCAACTGACTCACATTTATGACAGTCGCAGTGTCCCCCCGGGGGTCATGCGATCCCCTTTTGCGACCTTTTGACAACCAAAGTCAACGGGGAGGCCGGATTCACTTAACAACCGTGTTCCTAACTTATCCATTGCAGTGCTTCACTTAACAAACATGGCAAGAAAAGTCGTAAAATAGGGCAACATTCATTTAACAAAGGTCTCACTTAGCAACATAAACTTTGGGCTCAATTGTGGTCGTAAATCGAGGACTACTTTGTATATAACAACTTTGTACCAGAAGAATGCAGCTAGTCCCTGATTTACGTCCACAACTGAGCCCAAAACTTTTATTGCTGAACATGGCCGTTGTTAAGCGAGTTTTGTCCCATTTTGCCACCTCTTTTGCCCACAGTTGTTAAATGAATCGGGCTTTCCCCCCTTGACTTCGCTTGTCAGAAGGTTACAAAAGGGGATCACTGCGACCCTCATAAATACAAATCGGTTGCCAAGCATCCGAATTTTGATCCTGGGAACGTTGCAATGGTCATAAATGTGAAAAATGGTCATAAGTCACTTTTTTTCAGTGCCATTGTAACTTCGAATGGTCACTAAACAAATGGTTGTAAGTTGAAGACTGGGTGTGGTTTATGGCAACTGACAACCATGGCTAAAGATAAAACATAAATGTTATAAACAACATTTAGTTAGGCTTTCTGTTTTTGTTTGTCCTGGCAACATTTTATTTGTTTCCTACTTTTGACTTACTCCTTTTCTATGTTTTCTTCAATGTTGCAAAATGAATAGCATGATATCTATTTGGCCGAGCATCAGCTGTTGCAAACCCGCCCCACACACACACACACAAAGACATGGCAGATGACCAACAATCTGACTTGGTCTCCTCACACGTCATCCATAGTGAAGCGTGCAAACCAGTGCCTGCATTTCCTGCATCGGATGAGGAGAGCACATCTTTCCCTCCTGGCCACTTTTTATAGAGGCATGATTAAGAGCCTTTTAACAAACTGCATCCCTCTTTGGTTTGGTGGCAGCAGTGCCTCAGATAGAAAGTCCCTACAGAGAGTGATGAGAACAGCGGAGATGATTATATGAAGCTCGCTTCCCGATATTCATCATACTTGGAAATCAAAGCATTGTTAGAGACCCCATCCACCCACTTCATGGTCTGTTTCTGTTGCTCCCCTTCGGGAGGAGGTTTCGAAGTATTTCTAGCAGGACTACCAGATGTTCCCTAGGCCATCCATCTGGCAAAGTCGCAAGATTTGTATTTCTCACCATGTACATGTATACGTTTGAACTAGACTGTGTTGTTTCTCTGTGTCAGACAATATATGTGGGTATATGCATTTTTATTTATTTATTTATTTATTTATTTATTTATTTATTTTGTCATGTTTATGTAGTGAATATCTCTCGTGGAGACCTGATGAGAGCTGTAGGCAACAAAATTTCATTTTAATGTATGCCAATTAGTGTACATTCAAAGTGACAATATAGTTAGTCTAAGACTAAGCTATGGCAGTGATCTCCTGCTAGAACCTCCAAATGAGCTCAAGATGTTGACCTCAAAAGACTTATGAATGGTAAGTCCAATGAATGAACTCCAATCAGACAAATGTAGTGACGATTAATCAAATGCTTTAGACCACGGGCAACCTTCTTGTGAAGGTTCTGTAGGCATTTCCTGAGCCGCTGCTTGAAAAAGACCCTTGTGTTTGTCCAGATTCAGAGTTGTAGCAGCAAAATGTGGGGACTGGGTTTAATCCCTGTGCTTGCCTCCTCCATGCAGAGACCGTTGGAAAAACCCGATGGGCTAGACGTGTCGGATCAAAGCAAAGAACACCCGCAGCATCTCTGCGAGAAATGCAAAGTCCTGGGCTACTACTGCCGCCGTGTGCAATAAAGAAACCCATGGAGATTTGGGTCTGCCTCCACAGATCCTGTGGCAACAGCCAAAAGGGAAGGAGGGGAACCACCGTCGTCCAAGAACCTTCATCCGTCACCAATATTGCCTAACCTAATCATATGCCTTTCCTTTAACTGAATGTAACACTTTTCCCTGTGTATGTACGGACTCTGTACTACGGACATACAACTTGCATCTATAGGTCTATGTGGTGTGATGCGTATTCCTTTCTTAAGGGTCTCGCAAAACAAGCCATGCTTTCATATGGGTGGAGACCAACTGACCACTGGCTCTTGCTGGACTATACCCGCCATACTCATGATGGATTTCCACTGCTACGGTGGTTTCCACTGATTGTTTACACAATTCCAGTATTCTACCCTAAGTGATCTAGTGCTGTTTGTCTAGAGAGATCTGGAACATATGCTTGGATGAATTAAGGGGTGGGGTGGGGTGGGATGGGATCAGGCAGGCATGACTCAAGATGCATTTTATGGGGGCAGTCTCTAAGTCTAAACGCTATTGATAAATGCTTATTTTAGCTAATGCTGCCAACTAGGATTCTTTAAAGCTAAGGTTTTAGGAGGAATTAAGGCTGTGGTGCAAATATTCAGTTTTCTTGACGGTGGACATGGTGTGGAAGTTCTACTCGCTTGCTTGCTTTCCAAGAGTCTCGCAGGGCCGCTGAAGAGAGGCTTTTGGTGAGCTTTAGGGTATTTTTTTTTAAATCTGAGGGCTGAAAAGAACAAGTGAATAATTGTCTGATGAGTGGTTTTCATGGAAGCGTGATGATGGTCGAACACGTAGAGTGGAACAAGAATGTGTCTTTTTTGTGTAGCAACTTTATGCACGTTTAGGTCAATGGAGGTCCCGCTAAAATCCAGGAGACCTATTTGAGAACAAGCTTGCATAAATGCACTTATTTTTAAAGGCTGTTTTTTGTTTGCCCTAACTTCCCATGTAATTCTCACCTTTTTCTTCAGCTACCAACGGTGGCTCAATTTCCTCTCCTCAGGCTGCATAGGTAGCCAACAAGAGGTGCATCATTTTGTCTTCAACAGACAAAGACTTTCTGAATTCGGTTCCCCCTCTCCACTTGTGCCTGTTTCTCTACCATCATTGTCCCCCAAACACATAATTTTGGGTGGAGTTTGGCCTGTTCCTCCATCAACAATTAATGGTGGGACCAGCCAGAGTTTCATCTTTCTTTCATGCTATTCTTTCTCACATGAATGTTCTCTCAATGGGTTGGACTGCACGCCCATATAATCCTTGGCCAACTAGGGTGAAGGAAAGTTTGATACATTTAGAGAAGAAAGACTGAGAAATCTTTCTCTCTCTCTCTCTCCCTCTCCCTCTCTCTCTTTCTCTCTCTCTCTCTCTCTCCATTGAGCCACATGAGGTTTTAAAAACATGGTAAGAGAAGTCAACAACCAATAAGGAGCTGTACAATGTCGCATCAGAGCAAAATACAGTTGGAAGGGACCTTGGAGGTCTTGTAGTCTAACCCCCTATTCTGGACAAATGGCTGTTCAATCTCTCTTGATCTCTCTCCAGTGATGGACCTCCCACAATTTCTGAAGGCAACCTGTTCCACTGATTTAATTGTTCTCACTGTCAGGAAATTTCTCCTTAATTCTAGGTTAGATCTCTCTCTGATAAATTTCCATTCATTAATTCCTGTCTTGCCTTTAGGTTTTGGGAGAATAGGTTGTCTCTCTTCTTCGTTCATCTACAGATTGCAATTTATTTCAATTCTTGCATGGTGCCATGACTTTTAGAACAATGTCTAATAAAAATGTGTCTAGGATCAAGATTTAGCCTTCAGTTTAGAACACCCAGAAATTTATTGTAGGAGTCTGTTTACACACTTCCGTTGGCCAAGATCAACTAAATGAGTAATCCCATGGGATCATATCAAATCCAGTGGAGGTCAATTGGTACCTTCAGCTGATGGTCTACTATGATGATTAAGACCTTTTCTTGATTGCCTCTCGATGGGAGTCTATAATTTCAATTGGCCCTGAGTTTAGAACACCAGAAAAAGAGGATAGATCTTACTTACTGACACATAATGCAATATGCCATACGATAGACCAAAATTTCATTTTCATGATAAGGTGCCCTGTAGCTCGACAGAAGGAGAGGTGTCCCACTTTGACCTTCCTCAGTACTGAGTGGCAATTGATCTCTGAAAATTGTTTCCAGAGTCCTGTGGAAGTTAAACTAAGGGTAATTTTTAATAAGATAGTTATTAAATGAACAACTGGAAAAAGTATTCTTTTTAACCATTTTTAATTCTTAGTAAAGATAAATCAAATCAGATCTAATTCTGATCCTTGGTTTACTTACAGAACAGAACAGAACAGAATAACAGAATTGGAAGGGATTTTGTAAATCATCTAGTCCAACCCCCTGCCCAAGTTTTACTGTTTTTAAAAACTCAGTTGCCATTCTTCCACGCCTATCTTGGAAGCATCTCAACCATGGTTCTTCCTACTTGTCAAGTTTCTGTCCTGAATAATAGTTGAGCTTCTTTTTAAAAAATTACCTTCATTTAAAATGCTGTTAAAGCAGCGGTTGAAGTATTCTAGGTATCCCCTGTTTGTTTCAATAGAAATCTAGTGTTAGGCATGAAAACCATACATTAAATTGAAGTTAAGAGTCATTGCTCCAGTCTACAGATGAGAATCTAGTCAACACTAAATTGGCGCTAGATAAGGTCAATGGGATTGGATTTAGACTGTTTGTGGAAACACAAAGACTGTAGGCCAGGAGTGTCAAACACAAGGTCCAGGGGCCAGATCCGGCCTGCAGGGTGCTTAGATCTGGCCCATGGGGAAATAACAAAGGACTGGCCCACAGTGCCTCTGCCAGCGAAAATGGAGCTCAGGAGGGCTGCATGCGGCCCACCCAAGCTCCATTTTCGCTGGCAGAGTGTTTCAGGAAGCCGTCACAACCAAAAATGGGGCTCAGGAGCCCGTTTTCTCTGACAGAGCATTCGGGGCCACCACAGGTGCCCCCGACATGAGTGACGTTGAGCTGACCACCCCCGCCCCAGCATTGCCCACTCTCCCCCACCCCCGAGGTCAAACACAACCCTGATGCGGCCCGCAATGAAATCGAGTTTGACACCCCTGGTCTAGGCTAATGACTCGCTTAACTCCTGTGTGCTCTTCTACAACTAGGACTGAATTCCTAGGATTAGGAATTCAGATCAGGGCAATATTGAACAGTGAAGTTACATTATTCAAAATCAACCAAGACCATTGCCAGATCATCAAGAAGAGTAATACCATGCTCTGTACTGCAGATGGCAAGTAAACAGAGGTGCTTTGCATCTGGAAGAGTTTCAAGATACTGGTAGGACCTTAGAGAACTGGATGACCTGCCGTATTTTGCCAAACTACAAGAGTTCAGCAATGTAAGAATTACAGGGTAAGGGTCTACAAAGCAGGGAGATATTTGACAGATCTAGCTACTCCTCTCTACCTATTCTTAGTCTCTTTCTATAAATTCCAGGTCAACCCATACCTTTCTGCCATAGAACTTAAGGAGCAGTGTTCAAATGTAGCCTGTTCCAGCTATTTCCAAATATTCTCCAGAGATATGAGACCCTCCGAGCCAGCATTATACCAATGGCTTGATAGATTGGACTTGTTGGAGATGTTTGTCTAGCACATTTGGGGGAGAAAAAAATCTTGACAAATGTTGCCAACACCAAGAATTCTTTTAATATAAATTTATATTAATTAAATTAAATTAAATTTTCCAGATGTACAGTAGTGGCCAAAATTGTGGAAACCTTTGGGGGAAAGTGTATTTTCTAAAACTAGCTAATAACACCATTTTTGGGGGGAGTATGATCATAAAATTATAAATCAGTGAAAAGATAATTTAATCAAGAATGTAATGCAATAACTTTTATGAAGGATTTGCTATTAGAATAGCAGTTACAGTATATAGAAGAAAAGTGAAACACTTTTCTTCATGTAGAAAAAATGAGATATACAAAAATTATCACCATGTCAGTTAATAGTTGGGTAACCTTTAGCATGAATTATGGCCTTACAACCTCTTCCCATGGAGTGAACCAAGTCTTTTAGTTCTGTAGCTATTCTAATGTGAAACCAAGATTGAATGATTCTATTCTATTAACTGGGTTTTATTGCTGGGTCACTTCTGACTAACAAGTTTCTTTAGTCTGCTCCATAGATTTTCAACTGGGTTAAGGTCTGGGCTATTCCCAGGCCATGCCAGCAGTGGAATAGGATCATCTTGAAACTCAAAAAAAAAAAAAAAAGTGGTGCTATTAGCCATCAAACCTCAAAAATACACTTTTCCCAAAAGGTTTCCACAATTTTAGCCACGACTGTACATGGAACACATACACCTTACAATTTCTCGTGAACCATGTTTCCTTCTTCAAACCAGTGGGGAATTCCTGTATCTTAATATAAATATTTCCAGCATCTTGTTGTACAGTAATGGAGTGAACTTCCTAATTTAGAAAAGTCGCTAAATCTGTTTAGGCTTCTATGGAAACCAGGTGCATCTCTTTATGGGGGTATTATGAACCTTATTAATCTGCTTTAAGCCATAGGTAGAAAGCGATTTTATTTTTTATTTTTTTAGCTTCAAGTAAATTTTCTTGACACAGTTAGATAAAATTCATTAGCAGTTGGGTCATCATTTGTATTGGATCCAATGGTTGTTTGGAAACAACTCCTTTAAATCCCATTATTGTCAGTGGGTTTATTATAAAAATGAATAAGCATAGATGAATCCATGATTAGGACCATTTCTGGATCAGTTTTTGTTTACATAGCAACTCCTCTGAATTAACCAAGCTGAAAGCTTTCCTCTGCATTGTTTACATGATTAAGGACTCAATTAATTGAGTCCAAAAAAAGAAAATCAAGATTAATGGTATTATAACATGTGTTAAGAAAAAGATATAAACCAGAGAATCTGGATAATTACGCTGTTTCCCTGAAAATAAGACACCCCCTGATAAAAAGCCCAATCGCGCTTTTGAGCGCATGCGCTAAAATAAACCACCCCCTGAAAATAAGCCCTCCCTCAAAATATTTAACTGCATGCACAGCCGGTCCCCACCATTTCTTCTGGTTAGGGTTAGGGAGACAGAGCTAGAAATTAGGTAAGATGGCAAGAGGAGCCCCGTCTTGCTCCACACGCCCCAAAATAATATGACCTCCCTGAAAATAAGGCCAAGCACTTCTTTCGGGGTTCAGAAAAATTCTAAGACAGGGTCTTATTTTCAGGAAAACACTTTCTAGCATTGTGTTATTATCCAGAGCAGGAAGAATGCAAGTGATGGCTTTTGAAGACTTGAACTTGAGCGTTAAAGTTCGTTCGTTTTTCTTTTTAAAGTAGGAGTAAGAATTGAATAATAGGAGAAATACAATACAAATAGCCTTATATTAAACCAGCTGCAGGTTTTGTTATTGGTGTTATTGTTGTTGTTTGAGCACTTATAAAATATTAACCAAAATCTTCCTAGTTGTTGTCATACCTGCCTACGTAAAATTCCCCAAAAGTATATTAGGAGAACAAAATGTAGATAAGATTATTATTATTTTTTTTCAACTGATGTTAAAAAATGAAGGCCAGTTGAGCACAATTCATTTTAAATGGCAGGCGATTGTTCTTAATTTCCTTAAGAGAATAACAGAGTTGGAACGGACCGTGGAGGTCTTCTAGTCCAGCCCCTTGCTCAAGCAGGAGATCCTATCATTGCATGATCTCTGCGATGGAAAGTCCAGCCCAAGCCATTTCATGTAGGTTTAATATGTTATGCTCAGTGGTGGGATACTGCTGGTTTAACAACCGGTTCAGTGAGCATGCGCACATGCCTAAGGCACTTGTGTGCAGCGCTGAAAATGGAGCATTCAGAAGCTCAGCTGCTTATCTTCCAAGTCAGTAACAGTAAGTAGAACAGCAAGGGGGAGAAATCAGCTGTGCCGTGCAATTGAGATGAGCTCGAAAGCAGGAAATAAAGGACAGGATAGGTTGGGAGCGGATGGGCGGGGCCAGCTGATCATTGGAGCTACCGGTTCGCCCAAACCGGTCTGAACCGGCTGCATACTATCTCTGGTTATACTAAAAGAGCTCTTCTGGATAGGATTCTGCAATTCGATTAAGGTCAGTGGCAGGCAGAACTCAGAATGTATGTTTTGTGCATGTGAGACTCTAGGAAACACCCTGACTTTAAAGACAGCTGAGAAAAGAACTCTTATCAAGTTCATTGATAGCAAGAATTAATAGCAGCACTGTTGATGGAACAAACCAGTTGTGTACGGTATGATTTTGAGTTTCTGTCGAGACCATAAAAGGGTTGATTTTAAACCAGATTGTGAAGTTTTTCATTCAGGGTTGCAAATGACCCACCTGAAAGAGCAGAGGGGATCCCCTGCAGTGGGGCAAGTGACGTCCTATGTGCCTTATATTGAATTCCTCTATCAACCTTGTGACACTGCAATTCAACAGCGAGTAGATTCTAATTCAGCCTTCTAAGAATATTTCATGCCACATCATCTTGTAAGACAAGGTTGTGCCTGGCTTCTGGGGCTGTGAACTGGGACTGGGCCGCAGCATGCCAGAAACCGGGCCACACAAGCAAGCAAAGCCCCATCCGTGGGATGCAGGCACACCCCCTCCAGTCCATGGGAAAACTTCTGTCCATGGAACCGGTCCCCTAGTGCCCAAAAGGGTTGGGGGGCCGCTGTTTATAAGACATGATTTTATATCTAGCCAAAATTTCAGTGCTCTTTCCTTTCATGTCTGCGAAAAAAAAACCACTGCCTCTAGAAATATTTCTGTGTGATTGTAGCACTGATTGAGCCTGACCGATGTGGTTAACTGAACAAAATGAAGGCTTGTGTTTTTTTTTTTCTTAGGATAATTGTCAAAAGGGACAATCGTGTGCAGTTCATAAATGTAGTCCATGGATATTAATGTTTACTCTCCCTTGTTATGAAATATTTTACAGTTTTACTTGCCGAAGTGTATTTATCTTGAGTTATACTTGACATAGTGTTCCTCTCCATTTTTTTTTTTTTTTAATACTGTGTGTGTATTTTGGAGAACTTTTTAGATGTTTAAAATTTTTGAATGGTTACAAATATTTCTTTGTAATACTGAATTGTTATTGGAAAACTTTGCAGTAACCTTTCTGTATATATTTGAGGGTCTTTTAAAATTACTATTGTTAGTTTTGCTTGAGGCTTTTTTTAAAAGTGTTTTTACAACTCTGAAGCTTTCAGAAAGCGATCTTAGTTTTCTATACTATGATACTAACAGAGCTAAGAGTTTTCTTAAGTATTATACAAAATTAAGGGTGTATCCTCAAGAAAATATTTATGGAAGGAATTTTTTTTCTTTTCTTTTTTTTTTTACCGTGCCTTTGTCTGTATAAAATATGCAACCGAGCTACATTAAGAAGGAAATATTGTCTACATAGAATATTATATGAAAGTTGATACATAATTCTGACAAGAAAATGAAGCCTTGCAATTCTTTTAAGCCATATTGTTCTTCTTATTGCTTGTATTTGGATGAAAATATCAGTATTAAGTAACCAGTGTATTATTTGGGTGTTTAGAACTTATATTAATATGCTTATTCGATTTATTTATATGTGTATTATGGAAAGTATTATTGCCTTTTTAGAAAAGCTAGGACTGATTTTGTAAGAATCAGGTTGTTGGAGTTAACTTTTTCCACTTAATGGCCTTGAGTGAAACACACTAACAATCCAGACCTAAGACAAGCATTTGGGCTGGGCCTAATGACTGCCACATCTGCCCATTGTCAGCAGAAACTCTAGTGCAAAGATAAGCACTGAAGCGTAAATGCTCTATGGATATTTTTCACACATTCCACTTAAACACACACCTAGGAACTTTCTGTTAAAAAACAACAACAATATTCATTTCTGTTAGAAATTTTGTTTATATATAGCACCACAAAGCAGTAAAGCACAGTCACCATGTGTTTTACTGCTCAGCTGTTCAACTGTAACAGGAAACAGGAAACTCTTACTTAGAGCATAGATTATATAGCATAGATCCAAACTTGTAAACACTGCCATCTACTGGCTGAATACTACTGTAGTTGTTGCATAGACATACATTCCAACAATGAATTCCAACAATTTTCATATCTGAAGGGTCAATTTTTGGAAAGTAAAAAGGACATACATGAACCAGATTGGTCTGTTAGGCAGTTAAGCATCATTCTTCGTGGCATGTGCTCTCTCTTGAGGAGAACTCCAGGTGTCTTGTGGTGTAAGGTGTGAAATGATCCAAAGAGTTGCTGTTTCTGAAATGCTATAGTATGGTTGGATGTGTGTGTGTGTGTTTTTTTTTTTTATACTGCATCTTAGAGGTGAGCAGGGTACACCTTGCCCTACCCAACGATGCTGAAAACCGTTGAAGAAACATTTCACTGAGGTCTGGAAAGCAATAAGGCTGGCGTTAAAGCAATGCACTCAGTCATTGGCTGCAAACCGGGAAAGGGTTGCGGTGATATAAGCATTTTGTGTTTATTTTTATTTAGAATGCATAACGTGATACAGTATGCATGTTAGAATCATGTATATTATATGCATCTTATTCTTTACGGTTTCCCATAGTTCCGTTATATTAAGATTGTTTGTTTGTTTGTTTGTTTTAAACCCTGTTTAAAACGAGCTCAGGCCCGCACTGAGCTCTTAATATCTCTTACAAAAGTTATTTAGAGCAGCAAACTACAATATATGAAACTAATGTTGTTATATTAATTTCTGCCAATTTCAATTAGTTTAATTACTTACTTTAAAAAAAAATTCTAGCTGTACTCATTTGAGTTCTTAGTTGTATAATTTTTCTCTTCTTTAACTGGTCGTTAACTTGTACAGCTTTTTTTTTTTTTAAATGAAGAAAATAATAACTTTTCTATGGACATGGGCCTCAGAGAAGACAGGCTTAGCTCAGCCACCAAAGTGACAACTTGACTATAAAAAGGGTAGCGGACAAGACTGTCAAAATTCTGCTGTGGATTGTCCATAAAATGGCATTCCGACATGTGCCTTAATTGCTGGATAGTATTAGCTTGTCTTTAGTGTTATGACAGTTTTAATGCTGTATTAAAATACTGCAAACAAACAAGGAATACCACTGTCTTCACTTCTTTGTTTCTTTGGAGCTTTGCGTGGGTTTCTAGGTTGTGCTGAACCCAAAATGGAATTGGGGAATCCTAGAAGGAAAAACCATGAAATCCAGATGTGGAATTGGAGACTGGAGCATAGGTAGTCCTCTAAACCACAAAGTTATTAAGTGAGTTTTGCCTCCATTTTATAACCTTTCTTGCCACGGCTTGTGAAGTGAAACCACTCCAGGGGTGAAATCCAGCAGATTCTGGAAGGTTCTGGAGAATCGGTAGCGGAAATTTTGAGCAGTTTGGAGAACCGGCAAATACCGCCTCTGGCTGGCCCCAGAGTGGGGTGGCAATGGAGATTTTGCAGTATCCTTCCTCTGCCACGCCCACCAAGCCATGCCCATCAAGCCACGCCCACAGAACTGGTAGTAAAAAAAATCCAGTTAAATCCGTAACATGGCTGTTAAGTGAATCCGGTTTTCCCGTCGATTTTGCTTGTCAGAAAGTCCTGAAAAACCAATCACGCTACTCCACGTAAATACACGCCAGTTGCCAAGTGTCCCAATTTTGATCACGTGACCATGAGGATGCTGTAACGGATGCTCCTATGTGTGAAGTCACTTTTTTCAGGGCCTCCTAACTTTTGAACGGTCACTAAACGAGCGGTTGTAAGTCAAGGACTACCTGGTCAGCCATCAGCCCTTCTCACTCTGTTATTCAAGGAGATGCTTCGTCTGAGATCAGATATTGGGGTCCTGGGGGTTTTATCCTTACTGCAAAATGCTCTTGTCCCCAGTTGAGGTCTGAGCTTGGTGCCGAGGCCAATGAAGGACGCCAGACACAAGGTGCAGGTTTTAATTACTTTTTATTGGTGTACACCAAGGAAAAGGGCTCCTGGCCAAAATGCCAAGAGAGCCAAGAACAAAGGATTAAGAAAGCTTTATACATTTTCACTAAAGGAGAAGGTGGGATAAACATTTTAGGAATAATTCTACAATTTGTTCTATTGGTCTCTAGCTGTCCCTATTCCTAAGCCTTGGCTAATGAATGCCCCAGGAGTGATCTAACACACCTTTTATTTGCTGCAGGCCATCTCTATTCCTCACTTTTAGCTGAGGTCTGCAAGTTGCCTAACTCTTTGTTACTTTTATCAGTTTTCTAACTACCCAGAATTCTTACAAGCTTTACACGTGCATATTTCAAAGCAGTCTTTGTTCTTGTCAGACAGACTCTACAATTACAGGCTTCCTGATTTACTTTCAAGTGTGTGTCAGGACCTGGCTTTATTTTAGCAGACAGGCTATCAATGCTGCACTTCCACATTTTCAAGAAGGCAACATCATTTAGAACGGAAGTTGCTATCCAGGCAGTCATTGTCCACAGACAACAACTCTTAACTCTAATCACAGCTAACCAAGAAAATCAATGAATCTCAGAACAAAAAAAATATCCATGGCTCTCCCTCACAGGCATTGAGGTTAGAGGCTTTTACTCAGGCAGTGCAAGCAACAACTTGGTCAAGAAAGCAATCGGTCAACAGTTCCTACTAGAAATTCTTCATCCGTCTCCAAAAATAAGCATACACAACAATACACATGCAACACTTATCTGTTTCCTTTTCATTGGGCTTGCCCATGAAAGAACATCCTTTCTTGGCCAATGGAGAAGACAGCATCACTTAATTTGTCTCAGACCGGAGTTTCTCTGGTCTGAAGACAAATGTTTCACCAGTGCAGAGGTGATTCTGGATTTCACAACTCAAGGCTTCTGCTACAGAGGGCCTTGTCAGATAACAAATGCCCTCAACGCATCTTACAGGTGAGCTGTCCCTCACATGTCAGTATCTGAAACAGAAAATAATAAAAATGGTGTGCATATGTTGAGTTAATGCAATGGTACCTACAGTACAGTAATAAATAATGGAATCAGTTAAGCTGTTGACTTAAGATTGGAGAAGTCCAGCTTCAAAAATACCCTAAGCTCGTGATAGCAAACCTATGGCATGTGTGCCATAGGTGGTACACAGCGCCCTCTCTGTGAAAACGCGAGCCATCGCCCTAATTCAGCTCCACCATGCATGCATGCATGTGTGCCTCCCACCAGCCAGGTGGTCTCTGGGTCTCTGGTGTGCATGTGCGTGGTGCATGGCGTGTGGAGGGGGGCACACACGGGGTGTGTGGTGCATGCGTGGGGCTCATGCGCGCATTGCATTTTGGGGGTTTGGGCACATGCACACTTTGGACATTCGCTCCAGAAAACACTACCCATCACTGCAGGGGTGAAATGCTCCCGGTTCGGACTGGATCACCCAATCTGGTAGCAATGGAGGCGGGGTGGTCCAGAGAACTGGTAGCAAAAATTCCTGTCCCCTCCCCCCCATTGCCCAGCTGAGCCACAGAATCATCAGAGGCTTTTTCTTTTTTTTAAAGCATTTTTTCTACAACTGCTTTGGCCGAAAAAATGCTTTTAAAAGTAAAAAAAAAAAGCCTCTGATGATTGCGCAGCTCAGCTGGGGTCATCAGAGGCTTTTAAAAGCATTTTTTCTACAACCTCTTTGGCCGAAGACATTATAGAAAAAATGTTTTTAAAAGGAAAAAAAGCCTCTGCGGATCAGGCAAGTCAGCTGGGATTGTCAGAGGCTTTTAAAAGCATTTTTTTTACAATCTCTTCAGTTGAAGTGGTTGTAGAAAAAATGGTTTTAAAAGAAAAAAAAAAGTTGGCCACGCCTACTCAGTCATATTACCTCCCCCCCCCCACCAAGCCACTCCTACAGAACCAGTAGTAACAAATTTTACATTTCACCACTGCATCACTACCCTAAGCCATAAAAATTGCCTAGATAACTTTGGTCTGGCCACTCTTGTCTCAACCTCACCCCCTTGATATTTGGGTGATAAGGATCTTCATTTTATCACCCAAATACAGAAGAAATTAAGAAGAATTAAGAGCCTGGAGACTAAAACATACGAAGCATGGTTGCAGGATTTGGGTTTGGCTAGTCTAGAGAAAAGAAGGATTGGGGGGGGGGCATGACATGATAGCAATATTCCAGTTATTTGAGGGGCTGCCACCCCTCAAATACTCAGCACCAAGTCCTCACTCTCATTTCCAACCTGAGCTGCAAACATTCTCTCCTTTTGGTAAAAATAATGGTTTGACACAGTAACCCAACATTTGTCCTGTAGGAAGTTAGCACCCATCCCTCTCCTAGGAAAATGAGATATTTTAGGAAATATTAAAAAGGGCAGAATATATCCCCTAAAAGGGAGGCAGAAACTCAGCCCCCCTCCCCTCAACCTTTGTCAATGGGCCATTAAGGCCTGGGCCAGTCTATTCTACATAACAAAGATCTATCTCCTTCAGGCAGAGCCATAATAGAAATTGCCCAAAGCCCTTCCATTACATCATCACCCAGCAAGAGTCAACCAAGCCTGGGACTCAAAAGACAACCTACAAAGTTACCCCTGCATGGCGCCATGGGACTCTGACAACCAATCAGAACACAAACTCAAATTCAAAGCCAGAGAGGGTTTAAAACCCAGGGACACTCAGCATTTCTTACTTTTTTGCCCAGGATCTCAAGCCATGCAATCCTGTTCATCAATAAACCTTCTTTCCAAGCAACTTCCATGAATCCCCACTTGGAACTGAACCCAGATGGACAGTCCCAATCTTCATTGTCTATCCTGAAGGGATCATTGTTCACATAACATTTTCAATCTAACTGCTATAAGCACCATGTCTTTGCTGATCAGAAAAAAGCTAGGTGACAATCATATGAAGCCAGGTTTAAAAGCAATCTACAGAAGTGGCCAAAATTGAGGAAACCTTTTGGGAAAAGTGTATTTTTGAGGTTTGATGGCTAATAACACCACTTTTTTTTTTGGAGTTTCAAGATAATCCTATTCCACTGCTGGAATGGCCTGGGAATAGCCCAGACCTTAACCCAATTTGAAAATCGATGGAGCCGACTAAAGAAACTTGTTAGTCAGAAGCGACCCAGCAATAAAACCCAGTTACTAGAAGCCATCATTCAATCTTGGTTTCACATTATAACAGCTGCAGAACTGAAAGACTTGGTTCACTCCATGGGAAGATGTTGTAAGGCCATAATTCTAAAGGTTACCCAATTAAGTTATCACTAAATTATCTAAATTATCAACTAAATTATCACCCACTGACATGGTGATAATTTTTGTCTATCTCGTTTTTTTTCTATGGTGATAATTTTTGTATATCTCATTTTTTCTATGTGTTTCACTTTTCTTCTTTATACTGTAACTGCTATTCTAATAGCAAGTCCTTTCATAAAAGTTATTGCATTACATTCTTGATTAAATTATCTTTCCACTGATATATAATTTTATGGTACTATTCCCCCAAAAAAGTGGTGTTATTAGCTAGTTTTAGAAAATACACTTTTCCCAAAGGGTTTCCACAATTTTGGCCACTACTGTAAATGAGCATAGGAATGTGTGTTGCATCCCAGTTCTTGGTACTCCCTGAATGAGATTATTATAATTTATTTCCACCATTGCCAGGGATAACAATAATTGTGTTTCCTGGGGATAACCCAGGATACAACACAGCCTCATATCTCTGGACCTCTCTGGAGGAGGAGGGGAGCCCTGTTGAGGATGGAAATAAAAAAATCTGAACACGACAGATTTCCTGTCGACTTTAACAGGGTTTGGAGACCGGCAGTCTGGACACTTTTGGAAAGGAGATAAAGAGAACAAAAGACTCAACCCTTCTCACCGAAACCAAAAAAAAAAAACAAAACAAAACTTATTTGACAAGAATATATTTATCTTCATATTTCGAGTTCCTGCACTTAATTTCTCTTGCACACAGGGAACACCGCATCGTGAGGAAATCCAGCGAGGTCAGTACTGTGAAGGCATAACAAAGTTCAAAAGTTAAACTCCTGGGCAGGGCTGTCAACCAGTGGTGGGTTGCCCCCGGTTCGCACCGGTTCTATAGAACCGGTAGTAAAACCCGTGTGAGATTCCGCC